CGTACTGTAATAGTAACAAACCATTTACGAATGATAATATAAACCCTGGAAACACAAACCGTAACTGTCTCTATTTTCCGCTTGTTACAACTTGTAATAAAGTTGTTACATCTTGGCTTAACGTTTTTATGACGTATTAGAACGTTGTTACAACATGGTATATTGGTTGTTATAACTGGTTAGGAGGTGTTAAAACTTGTTCGAACGTTGTACCAACGTCGTAGTTTCGGTGTGTGTTTGGCGGGAATTCCATTACAAAACAATGGAATACTATATACGACTATATAGTCGAGGTTTAACGATCAAGTGTAATTACACCGCACTTGCTTAACTAATTAGACTATGCAGCAACAGCCAACATGGCCTATAATACCACACATTAACTACAGAACCACAAATAATAAGAACATAAGAATATGTGTAACTACAGGAAGCCTAGTGGTCCATGCGCAGCAGGTGTAATCTATATCCACCTATTTCCATGTGTAACCACAGACTATGGTAATACAACGACATAAAGATCTAGCTAAATATATAAATGTTACAAACACAAAGTCTTCACCGGTCAAGATGACAGAAAACCGTAATGAAGAAACTACCAAGACACAGAAGGCAGATTAAACTAGCTTATTAATCGGTTTTACGCGTTTCTCCTCGTATCATCCACCCGCACTCACTTCCTCTCCTCGTATCATCCACCCGCACTCACTTCCTCTCCTCGTATCATCCACCCGCACTCACTTCCTCTCCTCGTATCATCCACCCGCACTCACTTTCTCTCCTCGTATCATCCACCCGCACTCACTTTCTCTCCTCGTATCATCCACTTCCTCCTTACCTCCCCTGCATCATCCACCTGTACCGAGTCGAGTTGGCCAGGCTCAATTTCCTTCAAGAAAAACATGCTCAGGGAGAACCGTAGCGTCCCAACTTGGGAGGCTACGGTTCTAAGGCCTGGCTAGAGGCACGCGGCCTCTAGCCAGGCCTCTAGCCCAGGCCTCCGCTTCTGAGAACTTGCCAAAATTTACTATCCTTGCCCCCTTCCCGCGGCACTACTGACAAGATTCAAACCCAACACCTTTCTATGGTATGGCTTGCCCCCTTCCCTAGGCGCTACTGACCAAGCCCATCCCTACAATTTCCCAGGATAGGCTTTCACCACTACCTTAGTGCAGTTGGCTACCTTTTTACCCCGTAAACCCCCATTCCGTTGTCTCCTTCCTAGACTTAGATAGGCAGACCCCATTCTCTTCCAAGACTCGGCAAGCCAGACTCCGTCCTCGCAACTTTGCTATTGTCTCGCTAGCCATCTAGAGCCTTCAGATAACGCCACACTAGGCAACAGTGGGCCCCGGTTTTGTACTTGGCCCCGGTCCTGTACTGGGTCCCCGGTCCTGTACTGGGACCCCGGTCCTGTACTGGGCCCCGGTCCTGTAAAGGGCCCATGGCCGTAAATTCACTAGATTCGTAGTGGTCTTATCTGGTCTCTCTGGCCTGCGACGCCCGAAAATTTTACCATTCCCAGATTCCGCTGGATTCCAAGATCTCAGGATTTCTATTTATACAAGAAAAGGGGTGAATTTCTGAGAGCAAAGGGTCGGAGCAGGGCAAAGTGGTCGAGAAAGGCATATAGAAGGGGGGAAGGGAGATAGGGAGAATAAAACAGGGGAAAAAGGAAATAGTTAAAAGATGTGTAGAGGACGAGGGAACATATTCAAGAAATAGTCTCCAGGTGTCCAAACGAAGAAACTTTGATAGAGAGAATGGTAACAGTAGGAAAGTGGCAACAGCGGGTCCCAGCACCCCAGCAACAACGGTTCTCCCAGCACCCCAGCAACAACGGTTCTCCCAGCACCCCAGCAACAACGGCTCCCAGCACCCCAGCAACAACGGTTCTCCCAGCACCCCAGCAACAACGGTTCTCCCAGCACCCCAGCAACAACGGTTCTCCCAGCACCCCAGCAACAACGGTTCTCCCAGCACTCCAGCAACAACGGTTCTCCCAGCACCCAGCAACAACGGTTCCCCCAGCACCCCAGCAACAACGGTTCTCCCAGCACTCCAGCAACAACGGTTCTCCCAGCACCCCAGCAACAACGGTTCTCCCAGCACCCCAGCAACAACGGTTCTCCCAGCACTCCAGCAACAACGGTTCTCCCAGCACCCCAGCAACAACGGTTCTCCCAGCACCCCAGCAACAACGGTTCTCCCAGCACTCCAGCAACAACGGTTCTCCCAGCACCCCAGCAACAACGGTTCTCCCAGCACCCCAGCAACAACGGTTCTCCCAGCACTCCAGCAACAACGGTTCTCCCAGCACCCCAGCAACAACGGCTCCCAGCACCCCAGCAACAACGGTTCTCCCAGCACCCCAGCAACAACGGTTCTCCCAGCACCCCAGCAACAACGGCTCCCAGCACCCCAGCAACAGCGGGTCCCAGTACCCCAGCAACAACGGTTCCCAGCACCCCAGCAACAACGGTTCTCCCAGCACCCCAGCAACAACGGTTCTCCCAGCACCCCAGCAACAACGGCTCCCAGCACCCCAGCAACAACGGTTCTCCCAGCACCCCAGCAACAACGGTTCTCCCAGCACCCCAGCAACAGCGGGTCCCAGTACCCCAGCAACAGCGGGTCCCAGTACCCCAGCAACAGCGGGTCCCAGCACCCCAGCAACAACGGTTCCCAGCACCCCAGCAACAACGGTTCCCAGCACCCCAGCAACAACGGCTCCCAGCACCCCAGCAACAACGGCTCCCAGCACCCCAGCAACAACGGCTCCCAGCACCCCAGCAACAACGGCTGCACGCACCCCAGCAACAACGGCTGCACGCACCCCAGCAACAACGGTTCCCAGCACCCCAGCAACAACGGTTCCCAGCACCCCAGCAACAACGGCTCCCAGCACCCCCAGCAACAACGGCTGCACGCACCCCAGCAACAACGGTTCCCAGCACCCCAGCAACAACGGTTCCCAGCACCCCAGCAACAACGGTTCCCAGCACCCCAGCAACAACGGCTCCCAGCACCCCCAGCAACAACGGCTCCCAGCACCCCAGCAACAACGGCTCCCAGCACCCCCAGCAACAACGGCTCCCAGCACCCCAGCAACAACGGCTCCTAGCACCCCAGCAACAACGGTTCCCAGCACCCCAGCAACAACGGTTCCCAGCACCCCAGCAACAACGGCTCCCAGCACCCCCAGCAACAACGGCTCCCAGCACCCCCAGCAACAACGGCTCCCAGCACCCCCAGCAACAGAGGAGGTACACTGGGTATTATAGAAATCTGAATTACTGTATCAACAGTTAATCACAAACGGGTTAACTGGTGAAACTGTTTGGACAGCACGAACACACAGTCGCCTCAACGGTTACGTCGGTTAACAGTTCATTTGAATTTAAAATTTTATATTTAACTGTCATTGTGTTGTTAAACTGTTTTAATTCTCTCTGCTTTTGTTAATCATTATCCTCACATCTATGGTCTTGAGGGGAGGGGGTGAGGAGGGGGTATTGGGGGGAGGGAGGGAGGGTAGCTGAAAAGGGGGGGTGTAGGGGAGAAGGAGGAGGGATGTAGGGGAAAAAGACGGGTGTAGGGAGGCAGTCTTGGCTTCTCCAAAACCCTCCTTACCGAAAATAAAATGAAACTATATATATTCACCACAAATTAAACTACCTTGAGGTTATCTTGAGATGATTTCGGGGCTTTTTTTAGTGTCCCCGCGGCCCGGTCCTCGACCAGGCCTCCACCCCCAGGAAGCAGCCCGTGACAGCTGACTAACACCCAGGTACCTATTTTACTGCTAGGTAACAGGGGCATAGGGTGAAAGAAACTCTGCCCAATGTTTCTCGCCGGCGCCTGGGATCGAACCCAGGACCACAGGATCACAAGTCCAGCGTGCTGTCCGCTCGGCCGACCGGCTCCCCTGGAACCTGGAATAGTTTCATGTACAACCCTCCCAACACTGCATTAACTGCTTTAATATAACATTATTTGTGCTTTTAATATTTAATTATTCTAACAAAATCCAAATTTCATGCAATACTAAATGGTTTTTGACCCAACGCAGAAATGGTAAATATAATTAGACATACCAGACACACACATTTCTAATTTCACCGCAAATCTTCCACTCCTCTCCAAGATTAAATTCCTCCTCGTAAGGCGTGAAACTCCGTCTAGGGGGTACAATTGTAAGCATTTTGAGAATCAGCTTTAAAAATTCGTGATCAAATTATGAATACGATTATATGCGGCCTTCTACAGGATGCAATCTGTTGTTATTGTTTTAGATTTAGCTACTAGAAATGAAGAGTCCATGTAGCACGGGCTATGGTGAGCCCGGAAAGGATGCAATCCTTCAACAGTTGCTTTAAAGTCCCGGGTGTTTGACTGCAGGTGAAGAGGTATTAGATGAATAGGTACATCAGGTGAAAGGAAACGTGTCTACAACTTTGTGTCCTACCCGGGGAACCGAACCCGGGTCATACAGTTCTGCATCGATGTTAGAACACTGTGCTATAGGTTCCATTATGTTGAACAATTTGAATGGTTCTCACTCTGAAAAGGGTGACCTCGCGAGAGCCATTTCTCCTGCAGACTATTTGCTAGCTAAACCATTATAATAGTGTAATGGGCACAGCAAGAACAGGTACATACATTAATGGTACTATATCCGCCACCCGTGTCACCCCTTAATACACACACACACACACACACACACACACACACACACACACACACACACACACACACACGCACACTTGGCACAACGCAGTAACGACCACAAACACAACCCCCCATCACAGCTTCTCCAGCTTAAAGGAGAAATATTAAAACAAGTGTTAGGGGGGGTACAGGCGATGATTTCCTTCATATGGGCAAACACGAGACGCGTCACTTCAGAGCAGGCAGGTAGGGACAGCACTTCAGAGCAGGCAGGTAGGGACAGCACTTCACAGCAGGCAGGTAGGGACAGCACTTCACAGCAGGCAGATATGGACAGCACTTCAGAGCAGGCAGATAGACACAACACTTCAGAGCAGACAGGTAGGGACAGCACTTCAGAGCAGGCAGATAGACACAACACTTCAGAGCAGACAGGTAGGGACAGCACTTCAGAGCAGGCAGATAGGGACAGCACTTCAGAGCAGGCAGATAGACACAACACTTCAGAGCAGGCAGGTAGGGACAGCACTTCAGAGCAGGCAGATAGGGACAGCACTTCAGAGCAGGCAGATAGGGAGAGCCAGCGGTTCAAATGATCAAGTATCACCATCAGATATTTCAAGAACCTCCCAGCCTCCCGCCAATCCCATCCTCTCCATGTGTCACTAAATCCATCCTCCTAACCTCATCTGAAACGGACGAACCCAAGCAACCCACTCAACATATCAAGTCCATTGCCCAGAAAACGTAAGATATGTGTGACCCGTGACTCTCTTTATAGTAGGCTGTGTTTGTAACGTTGGTCACCATAGCGTAAAACAACGCGGCCTATCATTTGAGACGAAGGGTTGCCCTCTATATGGGGGGGGGGGGAAGATTCTATGGGGAGGTTCAGGTTCGCCAGTAACGAGGTATTGTGTGTGTCTCACCTTCCCGGCCACCTGAGGGTAGGTAACGTAAATCATTCGACGCACGCCTCGTACCTTTGCCTCTGGGGTAAGCGCCCCATGCCCCCAGAAGCGCCTCCAGGGGCATATGGGGGCCTAGGGTGGCTATCGACTTATTCTTCATCAACTCGTGAACGTTTGATGATATTTGTTGGTGGTTGAGATCCACACACACACACACACACACACACATGGCAGGTGTGTGTGTGTGTGTGATCTGTGATCTATCATCTCTTCCCTTCCCACACGAGGCAGAAACAAATGCGCAAAGTTTCTTTCGCCCTAAGTGCCCTTGTTACCTAGCAGTAAATGGGTACCTGGGAGTTGGTCAGCTGTCACGGGCTGCTTCCTGGGGTGTGTGTGTGTGGTGTGAAAAAAAAAGTAGTTAGTAAACAGTTGATTGACAGTTGAGAGGCGGGCCGAAAGAGCAAAGCTCAACCGCCGCAAACACAACTAGTAAACAACTAGTAAACACACACACACACACACACACACACACACACACACACACACACACACACACACACACACACACACACACACACACGTGCGGGCAACTCCTCCACACATGCTCATCACATACAGACAAATCCTGTAACCTTATTATCAACAAGACACATTAATCCCCATCACCATACATCACAGGTGTCCGGCCCAACACGGGGGAGATGCCAGCGGCTGACAAGCGAGGTGCGCACTGCCAGGCTTCTTAATTGTAACGTTTCGCTTTCTGCTGAGAATAACGGGTTTAAGAGAAGAGATTTTGCTTTAAGTCACATTCACTAATACTCCTGAGGGGGAGTAAGTCCAGGCTTGGACCTGCTCCCTGTCCAGGCTTGGACCTGCTCCGTGTCCAGGCTTGGACAAGGAACAAGTCGAAGCGCTACCTCCTCGTGGTGTTCCGTAAGTCACACCCAACACCCAAACAACACACCCAACACCCAAACAACACACCCAACACCCAAACAACACACCCAGCACCCAAACAACACACCCAACACCCAAACAACACACCCAACACCCAAACAACACACCCAACACCCAAACAACACACCCAACACCCAAACAACACACCCAACACCCAAACAAACACCCAACACAAACAACACACCCAACACCCAAACAACACACCCAACACCCAAACAACACACCCAACACCCAAACACACACCCAACACCCAAACAACACACCCAACACCCAAACAACACACCCAACACCCAAACAACACACCCAACACCCAAACAACACACCCAACACCCAAACAACACACCCAACACCCAAACAACACACCCAACACCCAAACAACACACCCAACACCCACACAACACACAAATATCCCACAATATACATGGCGATCAATTACCTACCGGGAATCACTTCCTGAACCAGAGAGTGAATTACCCAACACCTTCTCCCGCCATACTCTTCCAAGCTGCGACCCCCACCGCAAGAAGCGTTCATACATTTTAACCCACTCTGTATTTTCATACAATAATTGTATTATATATTATAACTATATGTGTTCAGTTAGGCCTAAGTGAGGTTTGGTGAGGTGTTTGGGTTCTGTTAATTATTTGTACTTACAAAATGTGGGTAAAGGATTATTGGTGGTTCTTATCCAGCCGCTAACTACCCCTAACCCCCTTCCTAGTTGCGTCTTAAGCAATCTGTCCGCAGGAAACCCGTCCACAGGCAACCCGTTCTCAGGCAACCCGTTCTCAGGCAACCCGTTCTCAGGCAACCCGTTCTCAGGCAACCCGTCCACAGGCATCTAGTCCGCAGGCAACCCGTCCTCAGGCAACCTGTCCACAGGCAACCCGTCTACAGGCAGCCCGTCCACAGCCAACCCGTCCACAGCCAACCCGTCCACAGCCAACCCGTCCACAGGCAACCCGTCTACAGGCAACCCGTCCACAGCCAACCCGTCCACAGCCAACCCGTCCACAGGCAACCCGTCTACAGGCAACCCGTCCACAGCCAACCCGTCCACAGCCAACCCGTCCACAGCCAACCCGTCCACAGGCAACCCGTCTACAGGCAACCCGTCCACAGCCAACCCGTCCACAGGCAACCCGTCTACAGGCAACCCGTCCACAGGCAACCTGTCCACAGGCAACCCGTCCACAGGCAACCCGTCTACAGGCAACCCGTCCACAGCCAACCCGTCCACAGGCAACCCGTCTACAGGCAACCCGTCCACAGGCAACCTGTCCACAGGCAACCCGTCCACAGGCAACCTGTCCACAGGCATCCCGTCCGCAGGCATCCCGTCCACAGGCAACCCATCCTCAGGCAACCCGTTCGCAGGCAACCCGTCCACAGGCAACCCGTCCGCAGGCAACCTGTCCACAGGCAACCCGTCCACAGGCAACCCGTCCGCAGGCAACCCGTCCTCAGGCAACCTGTCCACAGGCAACCCGTCCACAGGCATCCCGTCCGCAGGCAACCCGTCCACGGGCAACCCGTCCGCAGGCAACCTGTCCACAGGCAACCCGTCCTCAGTAGGTCTACACACACTACAACACCTGTGGCTTAATCTGTCATCTCTAACACCTGCAATTTTCGTATTAACATCCTGCACGTGCAACTATGTGCAAATACCCGAACCTAACCATAAATGTTTACAGAATAATAAAAATGAGTATTGCTATTATATTTTTATTTCTTTATTAATAATAACGATTATTTAAATTTCATAATTTTATTATAATTTTATAATAAAACGCGAAAATAATCCGATTGTGTCTTGCATGACGATGGGGGGATTAACGAGTCTTGCATGATGATGGGGGGATTAACGAGTCTTGCATGACGATGGGTGGATTAACGAGTCTTCCATGACGATGGGTGGATTAACGAGTCTTGCATGACGATGGGTGGATTAACGAGTCTTGCATGAAGATGGGGGGATCAACGAGTCTTGCATGATGATGGAGGGATTGACGAGTCTTGCATGATGATGGGTGGATTAACGAGTCTTGCATGACGATGGAGGGATTAACGAGTCTTGCATGACGATGGGTGGATTAACGAGTCTTGCATGACGATGGGGGGATTAACGAGTCTTGCATGACGATGGGGGGATTAACGAGTCTTGCATGACGATGGGGGGATTAACGAGTCTTGCATGACGATGGGGGGATTAACGAGTCTTGCATGACGATGGGGGGATTAACGAGTCTTGCATGAAGATGGGGGGATTAACGAGTCTTGCATGATGATGGGGGGATTAACGAGTCTTGCATGACGATGGGGGATTAACGAGTCTTGCATGACGATGGGGGGATTAACGAGTCTTGCATGACGATGGGGGGATTAACGAGTCTTGCATGATGATGGGTGGATTAACGAGTCTTGCATGACGATGGGTGGATTAACGAGTCTTGCATGACGATGGGTGGATTAACGAGTCTTGCATGAAGATGGGGGATTAACGAGTCTTGCATGATGATGGGGGGATTAACGAGTCTTGCATGATGATGGGGGGATTAACGAGTCTTGCATGATGATGGGGGGATTAACGAGTCTTGCATGACGATGGGTGGATTAACGAGTCTTGCATGACGATGGGTGGATTAACGAGTCTTGCATGAAGATGGGGGGATTACCGAGTCTTGCATGAAGATGGGGGGATTAACGAGTCTTGCATAATGATGGGGGGATTAACGAGTCTTGCATGATGATGGGTGGATTAACGAGTCTTGCATGATGATGGGGGATTAACGAGTCTTGCATGACGATGGAGGGATTAACGAGTCTTGCATGATGATGGGTGGATTAACGAGTCTTGCATGACGATGGGGGGATTAACGAGTCTTGCATGACGATGGGTGGATTAACGAGTCTTGCATGACGATGGGGGGATTAACGAGTCTTGCATGACGATGGGTGGATTAACGAGTCTTGCATGACGATGGGTGGATTAACGAGTCTTGCATGACGATGGGTGGATTAACGAGTCTTGCATGAAGATGGGTGGATTAACGAGTCTTGCATGACGATGGGGGGATTAACGAGCCTTGCATGACGATGGGTGGATTAACGAGTCTTGCATGACGATGGGTGGATTAACGAGTCTTGCATGATGATGGGTGGATTAACGAGTCTTGCATGACGATGGGGGGATTAACGAGTCTTGCATGACGATGGGGGGATTAACGAGTCTTGCATGACGAGGCGGGATTAACGAGTCTTGCACGACCCTTCCTCGTCACTCGTCTGGCGTACTATGTTCCGGTTCCCATTTTCTTTGATATGCTGCTCGGCTATGTGGTATGCTGAATGTTATTCTGATATACTTACTGTTCGCCTATATGGTATGCTGAATGTTATTCTGATATACTTACTGTTCGCCTATATGGTATGCTGAATGTTATTCTGATATACTTACTGTTCTCCTATATGGTATGCTGAATGTTATTCTGATATACTTACTGTTCGCCTATATGGTATGCTGAATGTTATTCTGATATACTTACTGTTCGCCTATATGGTATGCTGAATGTTATTCTGATATACTTACTGTTCGCCTATATCATACGCAGTTTGCCCTATACAGCATGCTGCTTGCCTATACAGCATGCTGCTCGTGTATAGCGTATGCTGTTCGTCTGTATGGTATGCTGTTATCTTGTCTAATAATATATACTTATCGTACTGGCGTAGTGTTCGAAATTTCTAGCCCGTTCGGAATATATATCAAACAACGGCTTCTTTATCTACTTACCTAGGCTTCCCGGGGTCATTGGTAACGTCTTGTGCTTACCTGAAGAATACAAAATAAAATTATTAGTTAACTGCAGGCGATGAGTCACAATAACGTGGCTGAAGTATGTTGACCAGACCACACTCTAGAAGGTGAAGGGACGACGACGTTCCGGTCCGTCCTGGACCATTCTCCAAGACAATCGACTTGAAAATGGTCCAGGACGGACAGAAACGTCGTCGTCCTTTCAGCTTCTAGTGTGTGGTCTGGTCAAATTATTAGTTAACTGGCTATCGCATTATGGCTATCGAGGGAGGACCCACCTGTTTCCTTATCGCTGTACATCGCACGATAATCAATGGCATTACGTAGCTATAGAATATAACGTTTAAACAAGAGGCATTAGAGCAGGATAGTGCTTATAGTTACTGCCACACAAGACAGTGAGAATGTGTGCTCACATGCACTTACCCAAAAGATTAAAATGACAGTTTTGTGTGCACACACACATATATATATATATATATATATATATATATATATATATATATATATATATATATATATATATATATATATGTGTGTACTCACCTATTTGTGCTTGCAGGATCGAGCATTGACTCTTGGATCCCGCATCCTTGGATCCTTGGATCCTTGTGTGTGTGTGTGTGTGTGTGTGTGTGTGTGTGTGTGTGTGTACTGTTCTGCATTCGGGAAGCAGTATTATGTATCAATGCGTGTCGTAATCTGTATATATGTATAAAATGCTCCGAATACCTGAGGCAGTGTTAGGTATACAAGCGTGTCATTTTGTGTGTAGTACGCTGTATACTTGCATATACAGTGATCTATACAGGTGTACACTTCTCCCTATACATGAACATACAATACATCAAATTCATGCGTGTACATTGGTCCGTATAGACGTGTGTACTACGCTGTAGAATTAATAACACTCCATTTATCGAGGATGACCAATACTTCCAATAGAAGTATATGTAGAAACTACAGTAGTAGTAGTAGTAGTAGTGATAAAAAAAGTAAGAAAAAAAGTAAGTAAGAGAAGTAAGAAAAAAAGTTGCATTATACTTACACAGCTGGAGGTGTCCCGTCCAGGAAGTGTCATCACCCCCTACCACCTGCTTGACAGACCTGTCAAGTCTAGGCATTGTAATCAAGTCCCTTGCCTCTGACAGCCCTGTTCTGTCATAATAATGCCATCAACCCTCTAACCCCTGGTAAACAGACCTAGCTGTCAAGTCTAGTCATTGTAATCAAGCCCCTTGCCTCTGATTGACAGACCTGTCATAATAATGTCATCAATCCCCCTACCCCTAATTGACATACCTCTCCCGTCGTAATATTACCATCAATCCCCCCCTTGATTGACAGACACCTTCATTAGGGTGACGACCAACACAAGTCACCCATCCTGCCTGTCGCTCCCTCACCATCAATATGGTGACTTCATCAATCTCCCGGCCAGGTGTGGTAGTGTGGGTGTTCTCACTACGTCGTGAACATGTGTCGCTGGCGCCCTGCGTGTGTTTAACACGTGTCTTGCAGGGTTACTATGCCAGGTGTGGAGCTGGGTGTGGAGCTGGGTGTGGAATGATTACCAAGTTTCTTGCTAGAAATAACACCTTGTGTGTTATGCAGGACCATCACGTGTGCAGACACCACCGCCACATATACAACACACCACACCCACCCCCCATCTTGCCCACACCACTGATACAAAGCCTCTTGTGTCTACGGGCTATTCATGCCCGTGCCACCTCTTGGGTGGCAGGCGATGAGTCACAATAACGAGGCTGAAGTATGTTGACCAGACCACACACTAGAAGTTGAAGGGACGACGACGTTTCGGTCCGTCCTGGACCATTCTCAAGTCGATTGATTGATCTTGGGTGGCCTTAATCTTCATCAATCAATCTACGCTTACAGTCACTCAGCCCCATAAGATCGAACCCGTGCCAACTACCACACACTACAGTTACGGTTTAATCACCAGCATCTTAAATTATTACAGTTTGTTGTGTGACGTTTTATGTTAATCTCATCACATATACTTTATGTTCTATGTTTTAAAATGGTGGATCTGAAAACATATAGAAGTAAATATATAAATAACATATAAGTAAATATATAAGTAAATAAGTAATATATAAGTAATATCAAGCGGATTAAGGCGCCCTGTAGTTACCAGTTGCGTTGCTCCTGGGAGTATGGGTTCGAGTCACTTCTGGGGTGTGAGTTTTCAGTCGCATATAGTCCTGGGGACCATTCAGGCTTGTTCGCACAAGTAAATATATAAATATATATAACATATATAAAAACCAATAGAGGCCTCAATGGAGATATTACGTGACAAAATCACTTAAGTGCGAGTGGTTATGTGAACGAATTATATTGGATGGTTCAAGTTCAAGAATGTTTATTGAGTCTTGAAAAAAATACATCTCCAAGGGATAGCGTAGCTTAGGCTATTTCTACCCCCTTATGGGATGGTCTTTCACGACTTAAGTGCTAGAAGCAACCGGAGGGGAGTAGGCGCTTCTACAGCCCGTCTTCCTGTTTTGGCGGTACTTATAGCAACGATGAGGACCATTATATGTATATATATATATATATATATATGTCGTACCTAGTAGCCAGAACTCACTTCTCAGCCTACTATTCAAGGTCCGATTTGCCTAATAAGCCAAGTTTTCCTGAATTAATATATTTACTATAATTTTTTTCTTATGAAATGATAAAGCTACCCTTTTCTCTATGTATG